GGGAAGCGCTCCGCCTGCCTGACGGGAGCGTGGCAGCTCAGCCGGGATAGGGTTTGCTCCCAAACAGGCGACCTGCACCCACCCCAGCGGTCAGCCTGCCGAGCTCCCGGGCTGCCTCCACGGGGGACGTGTGTGTGACCCTCATGATTGGAGTGGAGGAAAGGTCTGCTCTCAGATTTTTAAATGGACTTTTCCTCTCGTCTTAACAGAAATACCTTTGACCATTGGGTGTGTGGCTGACACTCTAACCACAGAGCAATACCGGCCAGGGCAAACTTTTATTGATTTTTAGAGAGAGAAAATGAGGGATGGAGAGGAGTCCAAGGAGAGAGAGGAAGAGGGAGAAACATCGGGTGAGAGAGAAATGTGAATGTGAGAGAGCAACATTGATCAGTTGCCTCCTGCACCCACCCCTACTGGGGCTTGAACCTGCAACCTGACCAGACTCGAACCCACCACCTTTTGGTGTACAGGACAATGCTCCAGCCAACTGAGCCGCCAGCCAGGGCTGTAACCTCCTGGAGTGGCAGTGTGTGCCTCTGTTCCCTTCACCTTTGCATCCTTCCCCGCACCCATCCGTCTTTTACATGAACTTGTGACGTTTTTCGCATTGAAATACAACAGCTCTTTATGCAGCAAGGGAATCTGCCTTTGCTCTTTATGTTGCAGATACTTTTTTGCGTTAGTCTTTTGGTTTTGCTTATGGTGCTTTTCCTTCTTTTTAATGAAGTGAGTTGCCATGGAAGCACACCATGGCTACTACGGGTCTAGTAATAATTAATGCCGTTTTTAAACATTCGTTTAAAATCTTGCTTGGCGTTGACTTGTATTGACATAACCTTCAAACACGTGGTATCTACAGAACGTGTGAAGTGCAATTAACAAGTTTTGCTTGAAAAAGTTTGTGTTTGGTTTGGTTTTTGTTGCAAAACTAGGGCTAAGAAAATGGCGGATGAAGAGCATATTCGGCACTGCATGCTTTACGAGTTCCAATTAGGAAGAAAAGCAAGTGAGGCTGCAAAAAACATCTGTAGTGCTCTTGGTCAAGATGCAGTTAGCGCCAGAAAATGCCAGCGTTGGTTTGAGAAATTTCGCGAGGGAAATTTTTCGTTAGATGACAAGAGTGGTCGAGGCCGTGTGTCCAATTTTGATCAAGAAGCTCTTCAAGCTCTTTTGGTGCAAAATCCTCAAATTACCCAACAAGAGCTTGCGACAACTTTAAATTGTTCACAAAAAACAATTTCCAATCAATTGCGTGCACTTGGCAAAGTCCAAAAGTTTGGAAAATGGGTTCCTCATGAGTTGACCGACAACAACCGTAATCAAAGAGTCACAATTTGCAGTTCGCTCCTCTCTCGTCAAAACCGTTTGCCGTTTTTAGAGCAAATTGTTACCGGAGATGAAAAATGGGTGCTGTATGTTAATTTGAAAAGGCGGCCTCAATGGTTGGACAAAAATGAGGCTCCGCAGCCCACGCCAAAACCTGACTTGCATGCGAAAAAGTGATGTGTGTGTTTGGTGGAATTTTAAAGGAATTCTTCATTATGAACTTTTACCATCTAACCAAACCATTACAAGTGCAGTGGATAGTGCCCAATTGGAAAGGTTAGCCCAAGCTTTAAGAGAAAAAGAACCCGCGCTGATTAATCGGAAGGGCGTAATTCTTCACCACGATAACGCACAACCGCATACTGCAAGAATCACTGCTGCAAAACTGCGCCAGTTGGAATGGGAAGTTCTCCCTCAACCTGCATATTCTCCTGATATTGCCCCTTCCGATTACCATTTGTTTCGTTCTTTGTAAAACTTTCTTCTTGGAAAAAAATTTAATAATGAAGAATGCCTCAAAAATGTGTTGACCGAATTTTTTGCATCAAAAATCACAAAAATTTTACAACAGAGGGATTAAAATGCTTCCTGAGCGTTGGGCACAAGTAGTAGAAAACAACGGCAACTCTATTGTTGATTAAATTTTGTTGTATTGTTTAAATAAATTCGATTTTAAAAAGTATTAGAAAACGACATTAATTATTACTAGACCTAATACTTGTCGGCTCTTTCACATGGTCTGACACGAGTGCCTTGTCCTCTGTTACCTGCTCACGCGTCTGTTCTGCGTTGACTCTGCAGGATCGAGTCCCTCGAGTTCCTGGACGAGCTGGAGCTCCTGGAGCAGCTCATGACCCACTACTGCCTGTGCTGGGCCACCCGCGGGGGCAGCAAGCTAGGTACCGTGCCCTCTGCCTTCGCCTCACCGTGGGGACCTTTCACTCTGCAAGGAACGTAAGACATCCTGCGTTTTGAGTGCAGAGGGCACTAGCGACCGTGCCGGTGCCGTGACCGTCTTGGGATTGGCCATCATGTCCTGTGTCCCGCACACAGAAGCGGGAGGGGTGTCAGGGAGAGCCAGTGCAGGTGTGCTCAGGACTGCTGAGGGCAGCGGGAGACCTTGTGTTTACAGCAATAGTGGTCTTAGTCAGAGTGACCAAGGCCTGCCTTGTCATCAGCGATAGCCAGGTGTCCTGGGTGGTAAACGGACCCACTGTGAGCGACGCTGCCCAGCCGGCCGAGCAGGGCTCCCTGGTGCTCCCAGCACCGGGGCCTTGGTCCAATTTCTCCTCACAGCTTCCCACGTGCCCCTGCTTCCTCGGGGTGGCCCTTGGGCACCTGTGGAGAGTGCTTTAGATCCCAGTTTGGGCCTTGAACGTGATAGCTGCCCTGCAGGCTTCCAACAGATGTGTCCCAGGAGGGGCAGTGTGGACGGGCAGCTGATGCAGTGGGAGAATGTGACCGAGGCCGGCTCTGACCCCGTGAGAAAGTGCAGGCTGGCCCGGCAGTTAGTTAATCATTGCCCTGGTCCTGTCTCCCACTGCTTTATAAATTTACTCAGCTGTCAGCTCAGCCCACAACTCTCTTTTCTATTTGTTTTTTAACTTAAAACTAGAGGCCCAGTACATTTGTGCCCTGGGTCGGGGGTGGGGGGTCCCTTCAGCTCAGCCTGCACCCTCTTGCAATCTGGAACCCCTTGGGGAGCAGGCCTAGACCGGCAGTTGGACATCTCCCAAGGAATCCTAGAGGCAGAAGAGGCTCCCGCCATCGCTGCTGTGCTTGCCAGCCATGAGCCTGGCTTCTGGCTGAGCAGTGCTCCTTCTGTGGGAGTGCACTGACCACCAAGGGGCAGTTCCTGCATTGAGCATCTGCCCCCTGGTGGTCAGTGTGCATCATAGCTATTCTGCCATTTGGTGGTTTTGCATATTAGCCTTTTATTATATAGGATCACTTAGTGGGGTTTTTATATTGGTATTCTCCTCCCACTTAAAAAAGCAATGTAATTTTTAGTAGAGCCTTTGAAAGCTGATAAAAAGTGTGATGAAGAGAATAACCACGTGGGTACCTGCCACTGAGCACCTCGAGTGACTTTTCTCCTCTGCTTTTTCAGCTCTTATGTTGCTGGCAGAGTTGAATTTACAGGTTGTGTAGCTTTGATTGCTGATCTTTTCAACTCAGTATTATAACACGAGCATTCCCTTGCTATTATAAATCAGTGAGTGTAACTTCCATGGCTGTGTCCGAATTCACTGAACTTGCCCCACTTTGGAAACGCAGGCTGTGTGTAGGATTTTCAGTGGACTTTAGATTTTAGCGTGACAATGTGGTGAACATCGTTATGATGGGGCTTCCTTTGTCCCCACCTCCCCTGGCTGCCATGATGTCGGTACACATGTATGCGGTGAAGAACCGTGTCTGCATTTGTTAATGAGGCATGCGGCCCACCAGCCGCAAGTTTGATGGCTACGGGGCTTTCCTAACCCCTCCAGCTGCCGCGAGCCTGGCCTCATGTGGGCGCGTGTCCCTGTGCCAGCCGTCTGAAGGAGCAGGACGCAGCTGCCGCGCCGGGCGGCCTGTGCGGGGTGTCTCGGGGCGGGGCCAGGTCACCCCCACCCCCGAGTTGTCTCTTCTGCGGGAGCCGCTGGCAGCTCTGTTTCCCCGCAGGTCTGTCGGAGGTCACTTGCTAACCTGGTCAACGCAGAAGCTGCGGCCGCCAACCCTCCCGGAGCTGACGTGCGGGGCCCAGAGTGCTGGCCAGGCCTCGTCTCCGTGCATCCCACCCCCCATAAATGGGTTCCTCGGGTGCCGCTGCACTTCCTGCTCCTGTCTGCTTCCGGTTAAATAAACCTCAGCTGCCAATGGCCTGCGTGTGTCCTGTCTGATTTGTCATTGTCCGTGTTGTCAGGCACCTCTGTGCGTCCCAGCAGCCCCTCCCGTTGGCACTGACGAGAACGGCCCACACTGGCCGGGAAGGCTGCGTCCTGGAGGCTGAGACCGCGGCAGGCAAGTCGCGGTTAAGTCCAGCTTGGCGGTCACGGCTCACACCAGTGACTTCCTGTGGGGCCTGTGGTTGTCTTGCTTCGTGTTTGTCAACTTGAAGGTTGAGAGGAGAAGCCTCCAGGGGCAGCCTCCAGGCGGGAATGCAGGTGCCTGGCAGTGAGGTGCTGCCAGGCCGCCCAGAGGCCGCGGAGCCCCGGAGGGAGAGGAGGGCGGTGAACAGGACCTAGGATCTTGCTGAGCTCCACACGGAGTCACATCTGCAAACAGCTTGCTAAACGTGACTGCGTGAGGACAGTGACCTGGGAGAGCTCTGGGAACATGAGAGACCCGGGTTTTCCCGTGGGTGAGCCCGGGTACTGGGGGCCCGAAGCCTGGTTCGGATTGGGGCTTCCAGAGGGCAGAGCGGAGGACTTAGAGACAAGATGGGCCCTTTAAGGGAGAGAGGTGGTGCCCTGAAGGGGAGTCAGGAGTCAGGAGCCTGGACGAGGAGGATCCATGTGGAGCAGCCCTGGAGGGAGTGGCCAGGGCAGCTCCCCGCGGTGCTGGTGGTGCTGGTGGGGCGCGGGGCGGGCTGCAGAGGATGGCAGTCATGCCACAGCCCGTCCCCACTCGGGAGGAGCCAGGGGACTGAGAACAACGGGACCAGCCACTGGGCAGTGCCTGTGCCCGGCCCCCCGGCCGCTCTGGGGAAGCATGTGGCGGCAGGGCTGCTTAGGAGCCGGGCGTACCTGTGTGAGAGGCCAGGGCAGGCACGGCTGTCTCAGACGAGGCCTCCCTGGGCCCTGGCCCAGCCAACCCCCAGCTGACCATGGCCAACCAGGCCAGCGCAGGCTGCCCTGCTTACTGGCAGAGCGTGAGTGAGCGGAATGGTGGTGGTACCACTGCGTTTGGGGAGAGTTGGTTATTCCTCGGTGGGTAACCCCGCAGGTGAGGGCGGATCAGGGGAAGAAGGCAAACCACTGGAGGTTGGCTCCTTCATTAGTGTGCAGTCTGTGCCACCTGTGCTGGTGTGGAGTTAACATGGACACAGATGTGGTCCCTGCTCCCAGCACCGTCCAGCGCGGCCTCGTAGGGTCCTGTAGCTGGTGCGGGAGGAGGGGGCCCTGGGAGGTGCTGGGAGAGAGGTGCGAGCTGAGGCTGAGGGTCTGCATGCGGGGCACCTGGGGTGGAAATGGGAGAGAGAGTTCTGGGGAGTGGGGGAAGTGGAGGGAGTGGGGGGCGGTGGGGGGAGTGTGGGGTTGGGTGGCGAGCGGCTCTGCTGGCCCACGCGGTGCCTCAGAGCGCACGCAGTTCCTCTTCGGCTCACGAAGACCCCGCAGGCTCACGGGATATTTAAGACATTCATTCCCAACGGGCATGACCCTGCCCCCAGTGCTGCAAAAACAGGTTCCTGGATGGCGGTTTGTAGCCGGCAGACCGAGAGACATAAGCAGCCCCAGCCTGTCTCCTGGTGAACGCAGTGCGGGAGCTCAGGAGGCCTTGTCTGGAACGGCTCCAGAGGGGACATCGTGGAAAGGAGGTTGAGGTCCTCACCTCCTCCCACCTCACAGAAGAGCATGATTCTTGCCCCAAACCTTCACTGGAGCTTTGCCCTGGAGATTAAAACCTGGGTGGGGTTCCAAGATGGCTGCAGAGTGGCGGGAAACAGCTCACCTGCAGAGCCTTCAGCTTGAAAAGCCAGTTTAAGGACAGCTGACATGTGGGCGGGGATGTGGAGGGGACAGGAGACGCGGAGAGGGTGAGCCAGCTTGCGGCTGTGCAGCGGCTGCGTGGCTGGAAAGCCGGCGGAGGTGTGGCAGTGCAGTCCCTGGCCCGGGAGTGTGGGTCTCAGCCCCGGGCAGGGATCCCAACCCAGAGCAACAGGGGGCGAGGGGATGAGTCCACCTGGGAGGCTGAGACCGCACATCCTAGGCAGAGAGCTGCTGCTTTGTGACAAGCCGGCCTGGGAAGCTCATGCCCATCTGTGGGAGGGGCCATTGGAGGAATCTCACCAGTACACCCAGGAGTGAATCCGAGGGACCCTTTATTCCCTGGAAGAACACATGGTGGAGACGGGGCTGGACAGTGTGGTCCAGCACAGAGAACTGGCACCCCTAACCCGACCTGTGCAACAGCTGGTGCTGCCCCGCCCTGTTGTGACCTGAGGCAAGAGGAGGGTGGGAATCTGGCTGGGTCTGGTGATGCGGGGCCCTAGGGTATTTGGCCTGGTTGGAACCTGGATGGAGGGCACATCCAGTGGGGGCCAGCCACGCTGAAAGATTGGAGTGCAAAGTGGGGCCGACTTTAAAATTTCCTCTTATCCCCTCTAGCTTGGGGTGGAATAGGGATTGCCAGTAAACTGGGCAGAGCTGAGGCACTGGAAGAGGAGGAAGTGCCCACCCGCCCTCCTTCAAGCTATAGGCACCACCCACAATGCGGATCTGTTTAAGCCACCCAAGCCAGGTCCAGGACATCACCTAGAGTCCATTTCTTTGGGGTAGGGGAGAGCAGCTCAGAAAGGGACACTCAAGGCGTGAGACCCTCTGGGCTGCAGAGGCCCCGCCCACCAAGCTACTTGTGGCTCGGCCTGCAGGCTTCAGTCGGAGAGCCCAGGGCCAGGCAGGAGAGTGACTCGCACTGACCTGCACCACACTACCTCTCCGGAGACCCAGCACTGACACAACACAGGCCAGAGTCAACAACATAGGAGCAAGGGCCAGCAGACGCCACAAATAATAGATCCAAAGGACTTTTTCTTCTTCTCTTTTTTCTCTTTTCTTCTATTATTTTTTCTCATATAATTTTCACTTTCTTTTTCTGTTTTTCTTTTCCTATTCTACATTTTATTTTTTTATTATTCATTATTTTAACATTATTTTTTATTTTGTTTCTGCTCTTATTCTGTTTCTTTTCTTTTTCACATTCTCTGTTTTTGGTTATTTATTTATTTTTAAATATAATCTGATTCACCCTGACTGGTTTGGCTCAGTGGATAGAGCATCACCCTTTGAACTCAAGGGTCCCAGGTTTGATTCCGATCAAGGGCATGTACCTTGGTGGCGGGCACCTCCCCAGGAGGGGGTGTGCAGGAGGCAGCTGATCCATGTTTCTCATTCATCAATGTTTCTAACTCTATCCCTCTCCCTCGGCAAAAATAAATTCAATAGAATATATATATATTTTAAACTAATTCTTTTGGTTTGGTGCTTTTGTTGTTGTTTTCATATTATTTTCAGTTTGGTCTTATTTTGTTCTGTCAGCACCTGTATAACAGTTGGCACAATGTGGTCAGGGTTGAGCCTCACAGTAAGTCTGAGGGGTGAGCCCACCCATAAACATGGCAACAGCAATCAAGACCCAAATTCGATAGGATGGCTCACATAAGCCACACAAGAGGCATTCCTAGTGCACACAGTTGAGAAGATCAAGGAGATTGCACTACTGGATCCCACAAGAAGGCCACCCCACCAAGTCTGGGAGGCATAGTAGTCTTATCCAATATACCGAAACAAACACAGAGAAGCAGTAAAAATGGGGAAATAAAAAAAATAGCCCCCCAATGAAAGAACAGGAAGAATCTCTAGAAAAAAACACACAAAAGGAAATGGAGGAAAGCAATTTATCAGAAACTGTATAAAATAGTGGTTTTTAGAATGCTCATGAAAAAGGACATAGAAACAATGAACAGCAACCAGTCAGAAATGAAGACTGACAGCTGAAACGAAAAATACATTGGAAGGAATTAATAGTTGGTTAGAAAAAGTAGATAACTGAACCAGCAAATTAGAAGGTAAGGTAGAAAAAAGTCCATCAGAGTAGCAAAAAGAAAATTAAAAGCACAAGGACGGTATATCATGAAACAAAACATCTGCATCATAGAGGTACTCTAAGTAGAAGAAAGTAGCAAGGGATAGAAAAAATGTTTGACGATATAATGACAGAAAACTTACCTAAATTGGTGAAGGAAAAAAATCACACGGGTTCAAGAAGCACAGAGAGTCACAATTAAGATGAACACAAAGATGTCCACACCAAGGCACATAATTAAAATAGCAAACATTAAAGACAAAGAGTATCATAAGGGCAGCAAGAGAGAGACAGGCAGGCAGTTACCTAAAAGGAAGCTCCCATAAGGCTGTCAGTTAATTTATCAACAGAAACTCTACAGGTCAGAAGGGAATGGCATGACGTTTTCAAAGTAATGAAAATGAGGATATAAAACCAAGACTGCTCCATCTAGCAAGACTATCATTCAAAATTAGAGGTAAAATAAAGAGCTTCCCAGACTAAATAAATAAATAAATAAAAGGCTAAAGAAGTTAATTACCGCCAAACTAGCATTGCAAGAAATGTTAAAAGGATTGTTGGGAGGAGGAGGAGGAAGAAGAAGAGAAGGAGGAAGAGAGAGAAAAGAAATAAAAATGGCAATATAAGTACCTATCAATAATAACCTTAAATGTAAATGAATTAAATGCTCTAATCAAAAGACACAGGGTAACTGAATAGATAAGAAATCATGACCTATATATATGCTGTCTCCAAGTGACCCAACTCAGAACAAAAGACTCACAAAATGAAAGTGAAGGTGGAAAAAAAATTTCCATGCAAATGAAAACTATCTATCTATCTATCTATCTCTATATATATATATATAAAGCTGGGGTAACAATATTCATATTTGACAAAATAGACTTCAAAACAAGAGACAAAGGAGTTCTCTACATACCAAAGGGATAAGTCCAACAAAATATAACCCTTGTAAACATATATACATTCAATATAGGATTACCATTCTTAAAAGGTGGTAGCACTTAGAGAACATTGCAGTCTGACAATTTCATTAGAATCAGAAATTGTCCATTGGACAAAAATTCTCTTTTAAAACAAAATCAGAGGAACAAAAACAAAGGAATGTCATTACATTACTTGTTCCATTCCTGCTTTTATGTATTAATTTTTGATTCTTTATTGAGATATAATTTACACATAACATTATATTAGTTTCAGGTGTACAACATGCTTCAGCATTTGCACCTATTGCAAAATAATCGCCACAAGTCTGGTTAACATCCTTCACTCCACAGAGTCAAAACTTTTTTGTGTGTGATAAGAATGTTTAAGATCTACTCTCTTAACAAGTCTCAAATACACCACCGATTTGTTAGCCACAGTTGCCATGCTGTGCATCACACCCCCATGACTTACCGTATTTTTCGGACCATAAGACGCACTTTTTTCCCCCCAGAAGTGGGGGGAAAAAGTCCCTGCGTCTTATGGTCCGAATATAGCCTACACATATACTTTAAAAAAAAAGTTTTTTTACTTGCCCGGCTCTGTGTGGTCTCTGTGTGCTTGCCCGGCTCTAAAATGGATCTAAATGCTGCTGTTTACTTTACAGGGTTGATTACATGTGTTTATGACTGTGATGTTGGGTTTTAATGCACATAAAATATTTTAGGACACTATTTGTTTCAGAATCTTTTTTTCTTCATTTCCCTTCTCTAAAAACTGGTGCGTCTTATGGTCCAGTGCGTCTTATGGTCCGAAAAATACGGTACTTATTTTACACTGGAAGTGTGTACCTGGACCCACTTCACCCATTTTTTATACAAATTAAAACCACCATGAGAGACCATTTGCACCTACTAGAATCTCTAAGATCCCAAAGTCGGGCCTCACACACTGTCAGGAGAACACAGCAGCTGGTCTGGGCAGGTAGGACTACATGGGCATTTTGAAAAACAGGTTGGTGGTTTTTTTTTTGTTTTTTTTTTAAATACATTTTTATTGATTTCATAGAGGAAAAGAGAGTGAGAGAAAGAAATAGAAACATCAATGATGAGATAGAATCATTGATCAGCTGCCTCCTGCACACCCCCTACTGGGGATCGAGCCTGCAAGCCAGGCATGTAATCAAACCTGGGACCCTTTGGTCTGCAGGCTGATGTTCTATCCACTGAGCCAAACCGGCTAGGGCCAGGTTGGTGGTTTTTCTTCACAGTTAAGTGCACTTGTGCCGTTTCACTCCTAGGTATTTCCTCCAGACAGATGAGTGTGTGTCATCAGCACACTTGTACAAAAATGTTCAGAGGTGCTGGATTTGGAACATCCTGAAACTGGAGAAACGTTCCCCCGTGGGTGTGTGGGTAAACACTCGGACCATCCTACCACAGAACGCTACAGCAGGCAGAAGGAAAGAGCCCCCTCACCCCGACACAGCCACACGGATGGGTCCACAACAAACGTGCTGATTGGAAGACGCCGGTGTCACCAGGAAGCTTTCGAAGTGATACATGTCACTCTCCCGGTTTTGGTGATGGCTTCATGGTGTGCACATGTGCCAAAACGTCTCAATTGCTCACCTTAAATGTGTAATTTGTTGCCTGTGAGTTATACCTCTATAAATTATTCCTGTTTTAGAAATAACTTTTCTAAAACCAAAAGAGTCTGTCAGTGATTTCTGGCTCTGTTCAGGGCCAGGGCCGGGCTTGCTGCCTGATTTCTGCCAGCAACTTCAATGAGATGGTAACGGGCGTGGGAAAGCCTCCTGGGTTGTAAGGCGATTTCTAAGTGTATGTAATTTCCCATGTCCCTGGATAATGTGTCATGCCAACAGCACAGTTTGAGTCAGTAGTCCTTTCTTAGGGACCACAGATTCACCTACAGCTTTCCTCTTGGTGAAGTCCAGAAAGTAACTTCCTAAAAGCAAGTTACTTGGTTTTATTTTTAGCTTTTTATTGAAGTACTAGAGGCCCCATGCACAAAAGTCTTGCAAAAGTAGGCCTTCCTTCCCTGGGCTGCCGGCCCCTGCTCCCCTCTGGCACCTGGGACCCGGGCTTCCCTCGCAGCCCTGGCTTTGTCCGAAAGGTCATCTGGAAGGGCATCTGCCCTAATCGGCATATTATGCTTTTATTATTATAGACAACACACATGGAAAGTACATGAATTGTAGCAGCTGAGACTCACCAACACAGCTGCCAGCATCTGGATCGCAAACAGGAGGTGAGCCCCCAGGAAGTTTCCACGCTGTCCCACCGCTGCCGCCCAAAGCTGACAGCGGTTGGCTGTGCTGGTTTTTTGTTTGTTTTATTTTTATTTATTTATTTTTATAAATTTCTTTATTGATTATGGTGTCACATAATGGTCCTCATCTCCCCATTCCCATCCCAAAACCCTCCCCATGTATGCCCACCCCCTGTTGTCCATGACCTCTGGTTAGGCTTATGTGCATGCACACAAGTCCTTTGGTTGATATCTCCCCTTTGCCCCTTCATGTGGCTCAGTGTTTTCCACTTTTTGAGATTGATTTACTTGCCAACTGTCCAACGTGACTCACATTTTCCTTGATGCTTTCTCTCTTACTCTTTCTCTCTTTTTGCTCCTCACTCAAGAATAGGTTTTTATTGATCTGAGAGAGAGAGGAAGGGGGGAGAGAGACAGAGACAGAGACAGAGACAGAGACAGAGACAGAGAAACACTGACTGGCTGGCTCCTGTAGGTGCCCAGACTAGGGATGGAACCCACAACCTCTATAAAACGACGCCCCAACCAACTGAACCCCCGGCCGGGGCTCCCTTACTCTCTTTAGTAACATCATATCTTAGCTGAGACGTGAAGGATGAGTAGGATTTTGCCAGATTTAGGGAAGAGTTTGAGTAGAAGAAACAGACTGTCCAAAAGCGTGAGGGAGAGTACAACTCAGGGTTGTTTTAAACACTGGGAGCGACGTTTATTCTGGAGTAGACATTCCCTATTTAGCTCAGCTGCTTTCATGATTGTGACCAGACAGTTGCCAGATTTTTCTACAATAAATGATGAAATCAAAGTCCCTGCACAGACATACTTCCCCATTAGAGGCTTTGTTTCCATAAGATCAGTTTGCAACCAGAGGCTGCTGTGTCTTGGGGTATGTGAATATATATAATAAATAAATAAATATATATATAATAAATAATATATATATATGAAATAAATTATATATATATATATATATATATATATATATATATATAATTTATTTTTTTTTACAAAGAGGAAGGGAGAGGGATAGAGAGCTAGAAACATCAATGAAAGAGAAACATTAATCAGGTGCCTCTCGCACCTCCTACTGGGGATGTGCCTGCAACTGAGGTACATGTCCTTGACAGGAATCAAACCTGGGACCCTTGAGTCCGAAGCCAACACTCTGTACACTGAGCCAAAGTGGTTAGGGCTGAATTTAGCTATTTAATGAGTGTTGCAAGATGGAGTTATAGATATTATAGCAAATCACACTTCCACCGTAATGTATGTGTTTGCCTATTTCTCCATCTTTGTCAGTATTGAACGTCAATCACTTAAAAATGTTTTCCTGTTCTGTTGCTTTAATTTGAAATGTTAGAGAGATTCTCTGTTCATGTTTGTTGACCGTTTGGGTTTCCTCTTCTGTGGAATGATTTAATTTTAACAGTTGTTGCTATCCAATGAAAGCAGCAGGAGACCAGGGACCATTCTGGCTCCTCTTGTGGACAGAGCCACAGTTGCTGCCGAGCGGATGCGTGCAGGCGGGTCCTCAGGGTGAGACTCATTAGCTGCTTCCTCAGTCCAGTGCGTCCAGGCAGTCAGTCCTGATACAGCCCATACGCCTGATGCCTGGATACCAGTGCCTCTCGAGAGCCAGCATTTGAACGTGGCACTGCGGGGTACAGAGGGCGCTGCTGGCTTCCATGGGGGAGTGAGGTGCTCAAGCTCAGGCTGACCTGTGACCTGAGCCACCTGGGAATCAGCCGCCCCTCAGCAGTGGGGGAGGCTCCGTATCATCTGTGCTCGCCTGGAGCTCACAGCTCAGCACCTGCCTCACACCGTGGCCCAGGTCAGGAGGAAACCAACACACAGCCCAGTGTCTCTGAAGGGGAGGGAGGGAACACATGGCCGGAGGTGGTCTCTGCTGAGAGAGGGAGAGAGAGAAAGAGGGAGAGAGAGAGAGAGAGAGAGAGAGAGAGAGAGAGAGAGAGAGAGAGAGGGAGGGAGGGAGGGAGGGAGGGAGGGAGGGAGGGAGGGAGGGAGGGAGGGAGGGAGAGAGAGAGAGAGAGAGAGAGAGAGCCCCCGACTCAGCAACTGAACAAGTTGTTTCCTCCGGCAGCTCCCACATTCCTGTCTCTCGTCATTCCGGCCGCAGCACACCCTAGTGCTGCTGATCATTCGAAAGTCAGTGCCGGAATCTTAGCACTTCCATCTTAACAACTTAGTAGCCATTTAAAACCCACATAAAGGCGTAAGTTTTTATTTCCTTCTTAAATAACTATAAGTAATTTGGTTTAATTGGGCTCTTAAACAACTTTCATTCTTAAACAGTTACCATGGGGGAGGGTGTGTGTGTGCTTGGGGCCCCTGCAGCCCCAGAGCAGGCAGATGGAGTGCAGCCACCTCTTCCTCCTCCACATGGATCTCATGTTACTTCCGTGTGATGGCGACCCCAGAAAGCCTGCATGGCAAAGCGGTGGTGTTCGCTGAAAGAGTGCAGGGCTATTTATTGTGACAACCATGAATGACCGTGAGCTAGTAATTCACTCGGCGTCTGACATATTGAGCATCATTATATTCCCCCTGAACAGTTAAAATATCCCCCGCCCCCTGGCCACACCCTAGGGGGGCAAGGGGGGAGGGGAGGGCAGGTTGATTTAACCGGGGAGTTCCCTTTTTAATTACGCAACGTACAAGGGGCGCATACTCTTTCACTAGGACGTGTCAGTACGTCATGCCCAGTGGACGTAATTTTATATTATTATTTTTTTATTTATACTTAATTAAAATAAATGAAATACACATTTTTTCGTTTATTTATATGTAAAGCACAAAGGAAAATACAAATTACAAACAAATAGAAAAGAATACCAACAAAAAAAATGGAAACATCGAATTAAAAAATTATAAATTTTACAAACAATTATGAAGATTACAAAAAATATATACCATCCCTCTCAGGAAGCAACATATATTTCAAGGACGTATTCATATGTCCTACCAGTTCCCGATAGTGTTTACGTTTGACGTATTTATAGGTCCTGCTCGGTTAACAGGTTAAGGAGAAGTGGTGGGGCTGTCGGGAGGCGGGTGATGTCATCAACGCTCCACTTGGGGGAAGCTGCACCTCGTGGTCTCAGGATGGCGTCCCTTCCTGTGTGACCACCAGCCACACAAGAGCGGGGGGAGGGAAGGGCCGACAGTGTGCGGCTGCTGTGACAGCCCTGGCCTGCAGCAGTGGCCGGGAGGGGCTGCAGGTGCAGAGCCGCCTTGCACCTTTGTGCCCTAACAGCGGACAGATCAGAGGCCTGGTCCTGCCGGTGGCCTGGGCAGATGGGACATTTGCCATCACACAGTGCCTTAGGCAGCCATCACCCCGCCCATCCTGATGATTCTTTTGTCTCTGGGACATCGGCCAAGCAAGCTTTCTGAGGCTGTGAAAATGTGTTGTTTGCCTGCGTGACGGTTAGTGTCCTCTCGGAGGCCGCTGGTTCCAGCTGCTGGTCAGTGCTGGCGGCGAGGGCGGAGTACGCACCCGCGGCCACAAGGTTTGCAACCCGCAGTACCCGACTGCTCAGTCAGGGGCTCTGTCTTCTTCCCTTAGATTGTCACATAATACATGGCAACAGCCAACACAGCAACAGCCGTCTGGTGTGAATACATAGAAATATCTTTTTTTTTTTTTTTTTTGTCAGATGAGCAAAATATAGTTTTTGGGTGTGACGCAGAATTTCATTTTATTTTTTAAAATATGTTTTTATTGGTTTCAAAGAGGAAGGGAGAGGGAGAGAGATAGAGACATCAATGATGAGAGAGAATCATTCATCGATCGGCTGCCTCCTGCATGCCCCCACTGGGGATTGAGCCTGCAACCCAGGCATGTGCCCTTGACCGGGAATCCAACTGTGACCTTCTGGTTTGTAGGTCGATGCTCAACCACTGAGCTGCGCCGGCCGGGCGGATTTTAGTCATTAGTTTATGTGCCATGAGATGAAAAGGCAGAAATCCCCGTCTAGAGGATGGACACCCAGCAGGCCAGGGGGCAGGGCGGCAGGCGCCTGGTGGGGGATTTGAATGAGGAGAAGTTGGCCAGCGGACAAGAGAAACAAGGATGGCGCGGGCGAGAGGGGCGAGGCACACGCTCACTGACAGGTGTTTGGTCCTGGCCAGGGATGGTGGCTAAGGGGGTCGGCTGTGCCCTGGAAGCCACAGGCGGCTGAAAGGTATCAAGTCAGGGAAGGGCATGGTTAGACTGACAATCTGGGAACAAACCTCCCTTCTCCGATGTGTGGCACAGCCAGACTCATTTCCGGGCTCTTCTGGGGTCAGGCAGGGCCGTGCGACACAATTCTTTCTTCGTTTTTTTCCAAGAAAAAAAAAAAGATTTTAAATTTAATAATATTACCAAAACTGTACCAACATAGTATGATATCACAAAAGTTGTAGGACATATTAAAAATTTGCAAATAACATGATTGCTTCTGTTCTAACATATTTTTTCCCTCTGGTTCTATTTTTGTTCATCAATAAATGTTTATGTTGTTCATTGTATTCCACAAATGAATGAGATCATGCAATATTTATCTTTCTCTGACTGGCTTATTTCGGTTAGCATAATGATCTCAATCTCCATCCATGCTGTTGCAAATGGTAGGAGTCCCTTCCTTTTTACAGCAGCGTAGTATTCCATTGTGTAGATGTACCACAGTTTTTTAATCCACTCATCTGCTGATGGGCACTTAGGCTGTTTCCAAATCTTAGCAATTTTAACTTGTGCTGCTATGAACATAGGGGTGCATATATCCTTTCTGATTAATGTTTCTGATTTATTGG